TCACAGAAAGAATTTCATATATTCTAACAAGTACAATCTTCTGCAACCCGGAACAAGTATTATAATCACCGATGCAATGCAAACCCTTAGCTGCCATTAAGCCCTCAACTGATTGAATTATCCCGCTATGCGACTACCAAAGGGCGGTGAGTTTTCACGGCGTAAATCCGCTATTTACCATCCGGCATTATCCGGATTTGGGAGCTTGCATTCTTGTTTGCCACCAAAGAACATTATTGTTAGATTTTACCGTATTTTGTCTATATTCCAATATTCCACAACTGTTTGTAATGAACACAAAAGTTGTTCTTTCTCCAATTGTAATGAAAATCAGTCTGTTTATGATTTTGATGACGATAGGCGAAGCAACAACAAAGTGACTTCACATGCTGGGTTGTATCAACAACCGTTAACTCTCAAATCATCGAAGTTAGGGATTTCACGATGTGTCCTCTGATCCTCGCTCCCAGTTGCCTGTGGACCGTTTGAACAATCTACGCTCAACGGCATTTGAATACCTCTGTGGGGCTAGACCTACTTTAAATCATTGGCAACGGACGCAAGAAGTGCTTTTCCTCTGCATGTGTCCTTGTCACATGTAGTCAAGATATCCTGCAAACATAAGAGATTCTCTTCGCAGGACCTTAAAAACCTTCTAAATATTTTAGAGTCTCGTTGTAGGTGGTAAAAGGAAATAAAAGAGAATCGTTTAAGTACTAACACGTAATCCCAGCATGTAATTCGATTTGAGAAATGCATACTCTTGTCTTGAGGGTCGTTTTCTGACGGAATGTGCTCTTTGGAATTTTATTCACACAAAAGATTCTAGGTCTATCTACATTAGAGACAGTGTAACGAAACACTGAGAAGAAACGGGATATTGCAACAACAGTAAGAACAAAGTGTACATACTGGATAGTCAGCTATCAGTCTGATCAGAAGAAATTGCAGCCATAAGAAGCGTTCGCTTCAGAGCAGCAGAACAGCTCTCACCCGTTCTGGTATAACCACACCAGAGCTGTCCACGTTGTTCGAAAGCCAACGACTTGCTGCCCATTGCTGGGCTAGTTGCTCTGAAGCCAACCGGCGATGGCCGAAACCTTGCCACGAAGGGTGAACTCCTTTCTCAAGGGAATGAGCGGTTAAGATAGGTTGCATCTCAGGATTTGACCTCGGCAATTCGAAGTCAACCTCTTACTTCTTTATTACTTCCTCCAGCAGCGTAAATGGGTAGAGAAGCATGTGCAGATAGAAACAAGTTTCTTCAAACAGCGTGAGCTAGTGTCGTGGTTGAATTTTCGCTTGGAGAAAAAGGCCTTTTACACATATAGAATACAAATAACTGTAGAACAGAAACAGTTAAGCATTGAAATGGACTTTTACTATACTTCGTCGCTTCGTTGTCAACAGTGCATGACCATGTTTAACGCCAAATTTCAGTCTGCTTTTGTAAATGCTCGCTGATAATGTTCAGATGATGTCCAACTTGGGTAGTTCGTCATGGATAAATTGTCTGTTTCATTAGAAAGAACGTATTTGTCATTTAGAGAAAATATGTGAAACTGCTGGAGGGAGGGAAAAAAGTTCTCGATTTTTATTTGTAAATCAGCTCAGCGCACATGGATCACGTGAAATTCATTGGCATTCCGTTTTTCCTCAAGAAATGGAATTCAGTTCATTTTTTTCGTCGGCTCGGTGATGTCACCTTTCTGCCACAGGATAAGTTCCACCATTTCGCTTATCAGTCTCTCAGTCCAGTAAATTGCTCAGATTTCTTTGAAACTCATGTTTAAAAGCGATGCCCTATTATGCAAATGAAGGCTTCTGTTTTTGGACTGTAACGACAGCAGCCAAATCTTTTCCCACATCGCCTGAAAATCATTCATTTAAAAATTTTGGTGCTGATAAATTTTGCAAATTTTGCCTTGAGACACTTCTAGGAATTCACAAGAGAAAACAGAAAAGTATGAACTTTCAGGAGGTGATGGCAATGGTAAATTTGGCTTTACCCTTACCTCCAAGTATCCTTTGAGCCAAACACCAAGCAAGAGAACACAATGGTAACACTAATCTACTTAAGCATAAGATTACACGAGGTATCTGAATGCATGACAAGAAATCATTTCTGTACTGAGGTACTGGCCAAAACTCCAAAAAGCCAAAAGTTGCCAGCAATACTTCAGCATATTTCATGAGGGAAGTTAAAGTACGGAAGCCATTATAATCTGCATGAACATTTTCGCTTAAGACCCTTCTTCATTTCTCTTGCATCCAAGGAATTAGATTAAATACCCATTAAAATTTGTCTCACCGCTAGAAGAAGGCAGAAATCTGTGAGAAGCAAAATTATAAAATGTATTATTGACCATCGTCTTATCCACTGTTGCTCTGGTTATTTTTTAAGGCTTGGTGTCATCGCCAATTTTAAGTAGGAAACGGTTAACCCACGCAGCTAAAGACGAATTGACAAGGAGGCTGCGTGAAATTATAACGTCAGGTGTGGTTGGTGCGGCGAAAATGCACCCTTGATTCATTTTCGGTAACTGCAATAATCATAATCGCAGCAGTCGATAAAAGGATATGAAATAACGAGTGAAAAGATAACAACTCTTGCGCTTTATTCGATGATCAAAATTACCATATATGTCTGTAGTAATCTTTTGGCATACATCTTGAGTTGGTCATCACTATGACGCCGTCTAGTTAGCCATCAGATTGGTCTAGGTGATTTGTAGCCCCGTGAGACAATCGCATCAGAGAGTAAGATCGCTCTGGTATGACCACACTGGAGTGCCATGCTGTCCGTGCAACCATCAGTTCTAAGTCAACCGGTTGCTACTGTTCTTCGACATGTTGCACCAATAAAGGAAATAAAGGAAATTGCGTGCTCAAGGGAATAAATGGCAATGAGAATTTTTCAGGATTCGAACCCAGCACGTTCGGAACTTGAAATCGAACACTCACCATTATATGAATGCCTGCATCCTATTTTTAGGCAGAAAATCTTTGTAGGTAATCAAATGATTTGTACTATCAATTTAATTCATCCTTCAGTTATCTTCGTTCTCCCTCACGTGTCTTATTCTTTACCCATGGTTTGCAACACAAAAACGACGTTATGACTCATCCTTCCCTACGATACAGCTAGTAACAACATGAGGTGAACAATAAATAATAGTGCGACAGTAAAAGTGACTTGATATAGATTTTCAAGTTCAGTGGTCTGTATGTGCAGAAATGCGTCTATCGATGAATTATGGCGATCGTAGCGCGGTTTGTCTGCATGGTAGGACGAAGATACTTCATTGTGTATTAAACTCACCTGAGTTGCTATATGAATGGATTCTTCTACAAGCAAGAACAATCCGAATAAAAACATCAGCCTCACCAAATGCATGACTTTGATCTAACCAACTTTTCTACGACGCCTGAAGGTTCATTAAGACTCCACCGATATGCAAAAAGAAGCGTTCCTTCCATACTGCAACACAAATTTCTAAATG